GTTCCCCTACAATCACAGAGCATTCTGAACCCCACCAACGATAGAATTGGGCCAAACCTCCCACACAGAACCCCCATGGGCCACAGCAACGCGTGGCAGGGGACGGCTAGTCTATATAAATAAAAATGTAATGTTCATTTGTGGGATTAACATAACTTAAAAACCACTGGACGAATTGACACCAAATTTGGACACAATGCACATATCAGGCCAACGAGTGACCATCACTCATAAAACACAGCAGCAAAGACTTAAAAAGCAAAAAAAAATACATTAAAACACATGCACAATACCACATATATACACAAATATATACACACACATATGCATATATACACACAAAACACATATATACAGATTGGGCCACAGCAATGCATGGTTAGTTTTAAATAAACGTTCTTCTCCCTTTTAAACCTTTTCCTCTTGCATGATCTTAGTAAGTCTCTCCATTCCCCAATATCTGTGAAATGGAAATGAGAATGAACCTGCCTCATAGATGTGATCAAGGGATGCTTTCAGTTTATCAACTTAGGTGAAGACTTTCATGTTTGGGAAGGCAGCATTAATTTAAAAGAATGACCTAATAGAGATGCAAGCTCCCCTGGTAGTGCAGCGGGTTAAACTGCTGAGCTGCTGAACTTGCTGACCAAATGGTTGGTGGTTCGAATTTGGGGATTGGGGTGAGCTCCCGCTGTTTGGCCCAGCTTCTGCCAAGCTAGCAGTTCAAAAACATGCAAACGTGAGTAGGTCAATAGGTACTGCTTCTGCGGGAAGGTAATGGAACTCCATGCAGGCCATGTGACCTTGGAGGTGTCTACAGCTTAGAAATGGAGATAAGCATCACTCCCCAGAGTCAGACATGACTAGTTTTAATGTCAGGGAAAACCTTTACCTTTTAATAGAGATACAGAGAGTCTGGGGAATATTGCAGGATTTTGGGTGTGATGTCACTTCTCCATACTCCAGATAGATGAAAATGTTTTGGGTATGTAAACCAATAATATTTTATGGAACTAATGGTGTAGAAAACACAGATACTCCTATATGTGTCATGCTACACAGAGAATCCTCTGAAATCCACAAGCATGTGGACAATTTCAACAGAAAGGAGGAAACCATGAAAATGAACAAAATCTGGCTACCAGTATTTAAAAAAAACTCTAAAATCAGGACACTAAATAAAGAACAATATGCAAAAAAGGGGGAATTCCAGACAGGAAACAATCTGGGGCAGCTAACACCTCCCAACAATGGTTTCCCCCAGGCAGGAAGCAGCCAGGCTCTGAAGCTTTAATGCTAATCAAGGTGGCCATTTGCAAAATTCACACTTGCCTCAAACAGACAAAGAGTTCTTTCTCCCACCTTGGACATTCCACAGATATATAAACAGACCTCACAACCTCTGAGGATGCCTGCCATAGATGTGGGTGAAACATCAGGAAAGAGTGCTTCTGGAATATGGCTCTACAGCCCAGAAAACTCATAGCAACCCATACTCCTATAGTGCCAAAGAATATGATTTTTATTCACTTTACTGAGTTAACTGAGTGCAAGCTACTTTTTCACTTTGCTTTTACTTTGCAGCAGGTGAAATAAGCAAAACATAAAAGGGGAAAGGCAGAGGTGGGGAGAGAAACTGGGGCATTTTAAAAGCAGCTGAAGAAGTGAAAGGGTAGAAGGTTAATAAGGCCTGTTCCCTGCCAAATAAAAGCATTGAATATTCATGGATTGCCTCTTTTAAACAAGCATAATGTAAACTGAAGGTTTCTCCTCAACAGAGTTTGGATGCAAATATCAGGTATCAGTTGTCATTCAAAATACCAAATTAGTTGGGTCAAGGGAAACCTGGTTTTAAGGAAACAACCCTCTGTGCTCCAGTGATGCATTCCTAAAACTTCCAAATCTATAGTAGATTATGTCAACACATAATGAGCATGATCCTTAATATGCAGAAGAGCCTCCCTGGATCAAAATGAGATTGGGCAAAAGCCAAGGACACCCACCAGAAAGGAAGTTGTGGCCTCCTGTGGATTATTGTCTCCTTTTTTTGGCCAACTCTGCTCTAGAGCCTAAAGATCTTACAAAAGTTAATATTGTAGACTTTCCATATCCCTGCTGTTGGGGGATTAGGGAGTTGTAGTCAGACAAAAACCAAAAATCTTTGCCATGCAAAGGTCATAGCGTCATCAACCTCTCAAATGCAGATGCTTGTGGTTTTAGGAGGGGTGAAGATATTTAGACTGCTACTTGGGGCCCAAACAGGTACGATGGAAGCTGCGAGCACCCACATGAGGATTTTATTTTTTTGCTTTACTAGATTTAAATACATTTAGTATGGCCCTTAATCTATTTCACTTGTTCCCAGCAGTAATAAAGTAGCATTCCAGATGTTTTAGAGTACCACTCTCACAGCCTCATATCATTGGCCACACCTGGCTTGGGATTTTTGGGGTTGTTGGACAAAACATCTGGAGGACGAACTGTTTGTCACCCCTGCTCTGTGCAACTTGAAGAGGTATGCAGTATCCTTCCACCTCATCTTGTCCTCACAATAACCTTGTAAGGTAGGACAGGCTGAGAGTTAGTGGGCACATCTGCACTGTAAAATTAATGCAGTTTGACACCACTTTAACTGCTGTAGCTTAATACTCTGAAACTCTGGGAGATTTAGTATTACAAGGTCTTTAGTCTCCTATGTCAAAAAGTGCTGATGTCTCGCAAAACAACAGACCCCAGGGTTCCATAGCATTGAACCATGACAGTTAAAATGTTGTTAAACTGCATTAATTCTACAGTGTAGATGCACCCAGTGCCCAGCAAGGTCAAGTGTCATGGCTGCATAGGATCTGAACTGTGGCTTACTTTGACATAGCCTTAACCAGCCTGGTGCCTTCCAGATGTTATGGCAGTAACACAGGTGTGTAGCCCAGCATATCTTCATTACACCATCCTGGTTCAATTGAAGCATCCCATATGGTAATAAAAATGTTCAGCGTTCATATGGACAAAAACTTTCTCATGTTTGGCCTACACATTCCCATACTACTGTTTGAAGATTTTGGCTCTGACGTGATTGAAGATCATTTCCTGCTGCTGTTGCCAATGAACACCAAGCTGTGTGTGAAACATTTGTTCTTTGATAAGGTTGGAGGAAACAGAAGGTGCTGATGTGTCTCCTCTTGTGATCCTTTCACAGCCATTCCTCTCCCCTCAAAGCCCATGAACCCTTGCTCTCCTGCATGCCTAAAGGATCTTTCCTCCCCTGCATGGACCATGTCAGAAATGGCAGAACCCGTTACTTGTGAGAAGTTCGAGGCCAATGTGTTTGCCAAGAGCCGCTGCCAGAACTGTTTCCGAACAGTCGCTGCGCACCAGTGTGGTAACCAGGTGAGCTTACATTGGATATGCATGTGAGTGGCATTGCTATGAGTATTTCATGAGGAGCAACCTGTTCCGTGGTACTGTTTCTACAGGAAGCACAAGCGAGCATTTCCAAGTAGAGGAGAGTATAGCTGAAGCGGAGGAGTGTATCTATGGATTCAATATCCAGGATTTTCACTTTCCCAGGCTCCAAAAAATGTTAACCCTGGAAATGCCTGTAGGTCTTTGTCAGTCCTCCAGTGTGCTTCTATTGCATGCCAAAGTGTGGTCAAAAATAGGTTTTCAGTTATCCAAACAGGAGCCCCCAGTGGCGCAGTGGGTTAAACCCCTGTGCCGGCAGGACTGAAGACCAACAGGTCGCAGGTTCAAATCTGGGGAGAGGCGGATGATCTCCCTGTATCAGCTCCAGCTCCTCATGCGGGGACATGAGAGAAGCCTCCCACAAGGATGATAAAAACATCAAATCATCTGGGCGTCCCCTGGGCAACGTTCTTGCAGACGGCCAATTCTCTCATACCAAAAGTGACTTGCAGTTTCTCAAGTCGCTCCTGACATGACAAAAAAAAGTTATCCAAACTATCGGGCATCTTAAAGCATATTCCCCGCAAAATACCTGACTGGTGCCATGTTTCTAATAGTTAGAGCAAACAAGTATGGAGATATTTAAGAGCAATTTTCTGCAACATATCATGACCCTGAAAATGAGGGAAAGGAAGAATTAAAAGAGGAGGTGGTTGGACATCTTGCTCTGATATCTTTTGGGACCTAACAAAGTACACGGAGATCTGACCTTGGAGTACAGAATTGCCACTCCTGGAGTAGAAACAGTTGCAACTACAACAATGAAATACTATAGAAAATTGACCCCTTTGACCCTCCACAATTGGCAGAGATGTTTTGAAGGAACCTACACAAATGGTCTTGGGGGGGGCACTGGTCTTGGGGGGCGTGCAATGGTTAAAGTAATCAATTGCGGATCCCCCAAGGAATTTGGAAGTTTGATAATGCGGAGTCCTAGAGCTGGCTGTATGAGGGTGCCACATCCAGTGGTAGAAGCCGGAGGATGGGACAGGAGCAGTGCTCCATGGACGGTTCTTTTCAGACAGTTCTTTTCTGTTGGAGGACAGAGGTGTGTGTTGTGAACGTGTTGGGCAGCCTGCCTTGTGCCTCCTGAACTAACTTGCTGTCTTCAGCTACAGAAGCAAGAGGTAGCTATCAGTCAGAATTCTGTGAAATAGTGTGCCATCTTCTCCTTTGCCTCAGGTTGCAGAGAGAATGGAATTGGCACTAGTAGGAAATGTTTAGCACTGTCGAATGCAATGGTTAGAGCTGCACAGATCAAAATCCTGGGTGTAATCTTCAATATAATACTGCCTGGCCATTTCATGAATATGGCAATGAGAAACTCATCTGAAAAAATCTCACCAAGGATTATCTTAGAGTTCTCATAAAGCAGCAAGAACTTGAAGGCATCAACCAACTAAGGAAGCTATTTTCAACTTCCTCATTGTCTCCCTGCCCTACTATAATTGCTTTTAATTTTTCACATCAACAGACAACTGGGCCTCATCTTATACTAATTACTTCCAGTCCTCCAACTGGAATTGCTGGCTAAGCTTGTACTTGGTATCTGACCCCAAATCAATTGCATTAGCTTCTGTACTCATTGCAGTGAATTTGACAGTTGTTTTCTTGAACCTCAGTAGTTTTGCTGGTTGGAAGAGGATGGCTGTATCAAGAAGCTGCCTGGTTGTGTAGGACTGCCATACTTGAGGAAGGACCCAGTTGCACTTCTAACAGCAGGACACTTTTTAAAAAAATGAGATTTATGTAGAAGTAGAGATTGCCGTGAGTCAGCTTCTCTCACCCTGAAGACCTGGGATATGACAGACTGTACCTGCTGAATTTTTTCTTTCCTTCTCAGAAACCTTTGTGTCATAGTCAGGTAACTCGTTTCTATTTTGAAGCATACCAGACGCTTGGCCTTTCCCCCACAATTTCAATTTTCTAGTCCAGCAAACAAGGACTCATGGCAACTTCCTATTTTAGGCCATCCTTTGGAGATCAGGGGACATAAACACTTTGTACAAGCGGCTTCCATTTAGTCATAGAAAAATTGGGATGATGAGAATGATTGGGAAAGGAGAGAGGAAGAGAAATTCCTCAAACTTCCAAAGTCCACTAACATTGACTTTGAAAGACACCATGGGGACCATAGATATTCTGCTAATAAAACATTTGGGGTTCTGGGAGGAGGTGCAAAATGTTCTAAATGGAGCCTTGATGGCTGCTTTGTGGAGTAGCTGTCTCATTTTGGAATGGGCTAAAGTTGCCATGTCTTTAACATCAGCATGAGAGGTAACTATTCAGCTGGAGCAGGTGTTTTTGAACTTCATCTCCCACAATTCCTAACAGCTGGGATTTCTGGGAGCTGAAGTCCAAAACACCTGGAGGAGCAGAGTTTGAGAAACTATGAACTGAATGAACCTTCTCTATTTAACACTACCATTTTGCATTTTAATGTTTATTTAATTATATGTTTATGTCCCATTTGTCTTTCAATGAGCTAAAAGTGGTATATATGATTCCCCCCCCCCCACACCATTCCCATTATGTCCTTACAACAATCTTGTGACTTAGATCAGACTGATAGAGAATGAGAGAAAGTGAGTTTCAGCAGTGCATGGGACTAGAACTTAGATAGTCCATGTGGGAACCCAACACATTAACTGCTTCATCCCATTGGCTTGCATTGTGGTTTATTATCTCTGCTCCATATACTACCCAAATCCAGCAGTTGTTGAGACACAGCAGATTGCCTTAGAGCAGTGGTTCTCAACCTGTGGGTCCCCAAGTGTTTTGGCCTACAACTCCCAGAAATCCCAGCCAGTTTACCAGCTGTTAGGATTTCTGGGAGTTGAAGGCCAAAACATCTGGGGACTCACATGTTGAGAACCACTGCCTTAGAGCAAGTCCGTCCTTTGCTTACTATTGTGAAGCACACTGAGTAGCAACAGCTCTCCATAGTTTCAGGTGGCAGTAGTCTGTTCCCTACCTTGAAATGTTAGAGATTGAACCAGGGATGTTTTACATGCAAAACATAATGATGACTACAAATACCAGAGTCAGCCACTCATCCATATGGGCAGTGATTGTGGTGGTGGAGGATTATGGATGTTGCAATCCAAAGCATACTTTCACAATTTTTGGGTTCTGCCTCAAAGAATTAAATGTGGTCCTGCCTTTGATTGCCCCTGATGTGTGTTGTCTCTTCTGCCTTGGTTTCTCACTCCCATGTCGTTCTTTTTTTTTTAAAGGCTGGAATGGCCATCTTGCAATGAGTGAAGTACCATAGATGTTGCATCAACAACAACATCGTGATGTTGTTGTTTTATTTATATCCTGCCTTTCCCCCAATAATGGCACATAGGGTGGCTAACAACAATATAAAAATCAGAATAATAGTATAAGATTAAAAAGCAATTCAGCCATTTGTAAATTAAAACATTAAATATTAAAAAATGTTTAGACATTGCATAATACTCTAGCCAGCTGTTTCTGATGAAAAGAGCAGAAAATAAATGATTGCAAATTATGAAACCATATGTGCTGGTTTCATTATTGTCTTTGCAGAATGAATAATGTTTCTTCCTACACTAACTGAAAGTCGCTCTGCATGTCTCCTTCGAGTAAGTCTGATTAAGCTCAGTGGAACTTACTCCTAGGTGACCTTATGTGTGTTTGTAGCCTTGATCACTGTGTCAGGGGTCTGAAAATAGAAAAATAGACTGGGTTGGTAGTTTTAATAGTGTTAAGTCCCATGGGTTTACTTATGAGACCACTATGGATCTTCTTATAGTTGTGACAGGAAGCTATAAGGGCTGATTGTGATCTGGGTTATCTCACCACATCTCAGAATAGGCTTGAAGCGCCATCTGCACCACAAACTGAGGTTTCTTGTTGAAGTGAACGAACAGTTCTGGGAAATCATACAACAGAGAGAATATTCAGAATTATCTTTAAGAGATACTTATTCCACTTGCAGAAAGACATTTCCCAGGAGTTGAGTCACAAGCAGCAGAAACCTTGAAAATGAATCCATTTTATATCCTTTGTTGCAACACTGTTTGCTGTTTCTGAGTACAATAAAAACATTAGGGTTATGACCTGTAAATCCCTATATGATCAGGGGCTGGGCATTTTGAAAGACTGCATTTCCCATACTACCATATACTTATGTTTTAACATTTTTAGGGGAGGCACATTTTTTAGTTCCTCCACCATCAGATACACATCTTGGTGGGAGGCAATAGAGGATCTTCTTGGTATGCATCTACATTGCAGAATGAATGCAGTTTGACATCACTTCAACTGCCATAGCTCAGTGCTACGGAATCCTGGAAGTTGTAGTTTTACAGTCTTTGGCCTTCTCTTCCAAAGAGTGCTGGTGTATTATTCCATAGTATTAAGCCAGGGCAGCTAAAGTGGTGCAAAACTGCATTCATTCTACAGTGTAGATCCATCTTTGATGGTTGCTTTCAAACTCTGAAACTCCCTGCTGAAGGAAACAAGACTAGCTCTATCTTTATTCTCACAGCTTCCATCCTTGTTGTGGGCTTTCAAGTTGTTTCCAACTTACGGTGACTCTAATGTGAACCTATCATGGGGTTTTCTGAGGCAAAGTGTGTATTATTTGCTTCGTTGAATTCAGTTTTCCAGAATTGTAGTCCAATGCTAAAAGATATTTTTTGTTCAGGCAGACCTTTGGAGTGTAATTCAGAGGTGAGATCATTGAGATTCTCCATCCTCCTGCATTGTTGCCAATACTGGCTAGGACAACTGGGAGTACTAGGCCAAAAACATCTGGAGGGCCCAGCTGTTTACCCTTTTCTGACTGGTTGAGTGCCAGTTCTGCCTTTTACCATTCTGTTTTTTTAATGGTTTTGTTTTCAAGTTGTGTTTTTAATCAAGAGGTTCCCCCCCCCCCAAATCTGTGTTTTGTTCCT